AAAAAAAAAAGAAAAATTAGCCTGGCACGGTAGTGCTTGCCTATAGTTCCGGCTACTATAGGAGAAGGATCGCTGGAGCTCAGCAGGTCGACGCTGGGGTGGCTGTGAGTGTGTCACTACACTCCAGCCTGGGCAATGGAGCGAGACTCTGACTCAAAAAACAAAAAAAAAAGGCAATTTTCCCAATTTTATTTCACTTCATTTTCCAAGCCAAGAAGAACTTAAAAATACTACATGCAGCTCTGGCGTGGTGGCTCAGCCTGTAATCCCAGCACTTTGGGAGGCCGAGGTGAGAGAACTGTCTGAGTTCGGGGGGTTTGAGACCAGCCTAGACAACTTGGTGAGACCTAGTCTCTACAGTTAATTACAAAAACTAGCTGGGCGTGGTAGCGTACATCTGTAGTTCCAGTTGCTTAGAAGGCTGAGGCAGAAGGATGACCTAAGCCCAGCAGATCGAGGTTGCGGTGGCTGTGAGCTTGCCACTGCACTCCGGCCTGGGTGACAAAAGTGAGACTCCAACTCAAAAAATAAAAAGAAACACCACATACATAATTTAATTAATTAAAGCTTGTACCCCAATACTCTGCAGCACCCTGGATTCCTATGGATGAGCAGTTACTTTTTGAAATTATTTATTTATTATTTTTTAGAGACGGAGTCTTGCTATGCTGCTTAAACTGGTCTTGAACTCCTGTGCTCAAATGATCCAAATGATCCTCCTGCCTCAGCCTCCTAAAGTGCTTGGAATATGGGCATGAGCCACTGTGCACCCAAGCAATACCAAGTTAATGTGTTAAACCAATTTCAATTGATGGGTTTTTTTTTTCTTTTTCTTTTTTTTTTTGAGTTGGAGTCTCACTCTGTCACCCAGACTGGAGTGCAGTGGCCGCTCCCGGCCACCACAGCCTCGACCTGCTGGGCTCCGGCGATCCTTCCGCTTCAGCCTTCCAAGTAGCTGGAACTACAGGCACGCGCTACCCCACACCTGGCTAATTTTTAAAAACTTTATTGTAGAGATGAGATCTCGCCAAGTTGCCCAGAAAGGTCTCGAACCCGCGGGCTCAGGCAATCCACTCACCTCAGCCTCCCAAAGGGCGGGATTACAGGCTGAGCCACCGAGCCCGGCTTTAATTTCTTAATGTAGCTATTTTCTACAGTTTGCAAAACCGCTCATCCTGAAAGGTATTCAGGTACTGGATCTTAAAAGCACTGAATGCAATTTTATAGGACTTGACATTTAATTCACTTCTCTTAAGTTTTAATGGAGGTATAGAGAACCAATTTTTCAATTATTCTGGTAACAAGGGTAGGAACCTACAGGGGTCACTTAAAACCATAAATATTCACATACAGATAAGTACCCACCTACTGTATTTGTTAATAATTATTTAACAAACATTTATTAATTCCCCTCTTGCCAGGTATCCACAGAGGACACCTACAAACACAGCTGGCAAACAAACAGTTGCATGGTGAGCCTGGGTGTGCACAGCCCGCAAACCCACGGCGTCAGAGATACCCGCCGGCCCCTGTGTCTGCCTCATGGGTGGAGGAGCAGAGTGCTTCCTTCCCCCCACCCTGCCCAGGCTGCCCTGCGTGTTCCGGAAGCGGGAACACTCCTGCTTCCGGGGTGCCTCTCTCGCCCCCTCTGTTCCCGGGGGCTGCTTTCTCCCTTCCCCACGATCTCTCCTGAGCGGCATCATAGCTGAAAACTGGCAGGCTACATCACCTGGAATCTGTGGTTCTCAGCGAGGGCGATTTTGCTCCCCAGGGGAATTCAGCAACGTCGGAGACAGTTTTGGCTGGGGGCTGCTACTGGCGCCTAAATATCCTACAATGTCGGCCCCCACAACAAAGAATGACTGGGTCCCAAATGTCAAGGGGGCCAAGGCCAGGAAGCTCTGCCCCAGATAAAAGGGGCAGGCAAATCTTTCTGTAAAGGTTCAGAGTAACACTTTAGGCTTTGTAGCCACACACGGTCTGCTGTAATCACTCAGCTTGGCCACAGTGGCATAAAAGCAGTCAGATAACAGGTAAGCAAATGGTATGGCTGTGTTCCTGCACGACTTTATATACCCAAACAGCCAGGGTGACAACCTTGCTCTAGGAAACTCTACACCTAGGAAGTGGCTTGTGTCACTGTGAAGGCTAAGAACGTGGCCATCAGGGATGATCCAGTGCTGCATTATTCAAGAGAATGCCCTGCACTTGTGGAAATGCTCTGCATAGTGTCCAAATCACAGTCGCAGCCATATGTGGCCACTGAGCAAGTGAAACATGGTGGGTGTGAATGAGGAGGTGGAGTTTCCATTTTACTTAATTCTAGTGAATTTACATTCAAACAATCCCCCATAGCTGCAGGTCTGATGGTGCTGGTGAGGGAACGACAGAACAGAGTCCCGTGAAAGCCACTGGCCTGCTCCTATGCCCAGGTCTTCACAGGAAATGCTCCCTTAGCCAGAGCTACGGCTTGGGCCACTCACCCGGAGTGGCTTCACCTTCCCAGGGCTAGCCTCAGAGCAGTTCCATGGAGCCATGCTGCTGTAAAGTTCCCATGTGCCCGGAGACACCTGCCAAAGTTTCTCATTGAAAGAGCAACACAAAGCAGCCTTCCAAGATAACCTTCAAATTACCTGTAGTAAGATTTTCACGGCCTCTTTTCTGGTTTTTTGAAAGGAAGGAAGATCTTAACTACCATTTTACTTATTTTTTTTTAAGGGAGCAACATAGTCAACAGACCAATTAATTATCCATGGTACAAAACCATTGGAAACTATGTGTTAAGGCTGCAGAATAGAGAAAAACCACTTGCATGCAAATGCTGGTGGAGGAAGGCTAAAAACTGCTATGTTTTCTAGAATTACAACTAGGAACAGCGTGTATGTGTTAAGAAGAATATTTCTTTTTTTTTTTTTTGAGTCTGAGTCTCACTCTG